GGTGCACCACGTGGAGGTAAGTCTATCGCACACCCCACGACTACAATGTGTAAATGGCTTGTGGTCGATAAGGTTCGGTAAGGCTCTGAGCTTCCAGGAAATGTCGGAAATGCTTCACAGCGTTGTACGCTACCTAAAGTTCTCGACAGTGCAGTAAGGTACCTGAGTGGACATTAATCGGGCGAAGAAGCAGGACAATTATATTTGCTAAAGGGGAAAAATATATCGGTTTTCGTGAACTTTGGAAGTTCACTGAGAGGAAAAATCAGAAATGCAGAACTGTGAAGAAATCAGCGATAAAAAGTGCCATTTCTAGGAAGCGACGGCGCTGGTTAATAAATTTCAGTTTTAGGGACTCTTGGATCTACTTTACCTCTACACCAGTTGGCTGGAAACTATTCGCGAATAAGATATTACCAAGGAAGGGTTGATGAGAGAAGTGAATTTTCTAATGCGAGTACTGAAAGAGGACTCGGAAACTTAAGCACAATTATCGGTTCAGGGACATCAGCAATGGTGGAAACCCACCCGAAGATTCTGTGAAGTTGAAGTTTCAGAATAATGGATGCTTGACATTTGGGGTTTATTGGTGAATCCGTTGATAGCTGCTAGCACGAATGTTTGTCCGAGGAGGTTTAATGAGCAGAGGTGGGAAGGACTGCAGAAATTTCTGCTCCGGAATCTAATAAAAAATGTGCAGCGAACTTTCGATCTTGAAGGATCTTCAACACTGCCAAGCCTGTTCGTTTCCAATTGGACCTAAAAATTGCCGCTTAAAAACCATTAATGTACGAGTCAATGTGATACTAGCAAACATTATTTTGTATATTTCTAAGTCTCCTGAACGCTGAAGTACGAACGTCTGTTTTAATAAAATAATCTACTGTTTGGCTGAATTTTCTGTAGACTAAGATAAATTTACCCCCCCCCCCCACCAGTTCCAGCATTCGTCCCTCCTATCTTGCTGTTTGATAGGGATATGATTTGAGATACGAGGAAGCTCTTCATAACTTAGAGGACCGAAACTTTCGATCAGATTGTCTGTCGCTGAATATATTGTTTTCCCTTGGAGAGCAATTGCAAAGTAATGTTGTATGTATAAGGGGGTATATTTAAAATAGAACAGTAGCCGGAATTCTGTGTAAAATGATTTTTTCCGATACACATTTCAACAGTCTTCCAATGTACCTCTCTCCAAGAGGTTTCCGTATTCGCTCAGTTGCCTTATAGTTATCATAGGAAACTGAATGCGCTCAGATAATATTCACAAATCGAACAATAATAGACGTTGGTGATGATCCGATAAAAGCATGGAATTTGTGGGTATTATAAATTAAGATTCAATTACAAATACTGAACAGGTGAAATTTTAAAAAAGGGAAGTCCGGGGATATTAAGTGAGAGTGTTTTACTGCTAAGTCAAATTAGCCATTTAATTAAATTGAAAAACAAGATCAATAGTTGAAGACATTTAACGCACTTTCCATAAAATTATAGTGTACACGAGGCAACTTCGATCACCTCTGGTAGCTTCGCGAAATCTGAGCACACACGATAGTTACCGGGGTCAACCTTCAGATTTTTGTTCTCAGTGAAAAATGAACATCAGACTGGTTGCTTCAAGAATTGCAAGTGCAAAATAGCTGAAGCACCACCTGCGACGTCAACATCAAATACAACGCTAGTCTATTCGAGAGTTTCATAATATAAATTGCTTACACTCTCCCGGTTGAGAAGTGAAGTAAAAATTCCGATGAATATACATTAAATCTTCCCATTCTCTCCTAAGTTATCCATTTGGCCAAATGTTCATAGTGGAACGCTCTATGCATAAAAGGCTTTCCAAATAGAACATCCACCGAATTAATAACAAAATTTTAATCTACATATATATATGTATGTATTTATATACAGATCATTACAAAAATAATTATTTCTAATATTCTTTCTACGCACTACAACACTAACATAATACTAAAATGGTAAGGGAGGTTGAGCTAAAATCAACCCGTCCCGAACACTAGCAGGAAGTTGAATAGAATTGTTTCCAGCGAAATCAGTAATCAGGGAGTAAAGTCGTTGTTGAAGCACAGCAATATTGAAATATATGCAAGAAGAAAATGTCTCCAAACTAGTGTAATTCATTCCACAATAGAACTGATGATCTACAGTCTCAGAGGTCGCCTTTTCCCCAGAGGGGGTTATCGTTACATCGTCGTCGTCTTCGTCCTCACAATTTACCTCATTCTCATCAAAGTCAAAGAATGAAGAGCTTGTAGTACCATCATCTCCTTCTTCCTTATCAATCTGTGAAATTGGACAATGATTAATAATATCATCATCACTATCGGCAAATTTGAAAAGGGATCGGAGAAAAGTGACGACTTCTTCACGAACAGCATCACAAAATGTGTTAAGAGACTCGTCCGTTCCCAGGAAACCCCAAGCCAGAGGAGCTGTAACAGTCTCCACAACACGATAATAGAGAGCAAAGAATCGATCCGGATATTTGAGCATTTTTCGTTTGGCCGCCATTAGAGTCCAAACGGCAGAATCGAGGGCAGATCTCTTAAAAGAAGGACTGAGCCAAGTGTTGCGAGTCAGAGTGTAGATGGATTGAGGAGGGTCGCTTAGATTTTCCAACGCATCGATTAGAATTCGGTCAAAAAAGATATCATAGAAATTAATAGCTTGAACACCCTTGCTCGCTAGTTCATCAGCGAATTGTGCCTTGCTGTCGGGGTCATGCAGAGAGTTGAGGTAATCAAGTAGGGTCCTGGAAGGTTAATAAAATCATAGTGATCGGAATTATTAGTTCTTTTCCCAATTAAATATTGTACACACCGTCATTACTGGCTACATCAATCAAATGGATGTTACCATGGGAGACTGTTAGAGTTAGAAACGCCTAAACACACAGAGAGACCTTGGGTACTAAATTGGTTAATTTAAGTTAGAGGGATCAAAAAAAGGAATTGACTCTTGAGCGATAGTAGATATCAATTTACCAGAAAAGGCGGAGACCTAAAACCATTCTACTAGCCCAAGTAACCTAACACAGCAGAACTATAAATGCCAGTGTGAACACACATACATCACTGGATACGCTCTTAAACAAACAACTACCACATTTTTTAGTATTTCAAATAATTGTTGAAAGACTACCACTCGTTTCTCCATCTTGTTTCGCGATAGAGACTGGGAGAAGGCAGAATGATGACAGATAGTCAGAACTCTGCAGTTGATAAGAAAGTTACTATCATTCTACAAGAGACTAATTACTATTCTGCAAAAATAAGAAGACGTGCATGGAATTCGAACTTAATAACTTACAAGAAAGCATTCTCAAAATCTGTCGTTGAGCTTCCCAAATTAAGGAGACAACCACAAGCAAATGCTTTTCCAAACTGGATTAGCCAGGAAACTGGGCCTGCTTTGGAAAGAATGTGATCGAATCCCTGTCGAACACAAACAAGTTTGCCAATGTATTCCACATCAGATCCGCAAAACATCAGCTCCGTACGGACAGCTCTAAGAATAAATACGGACCATGAAACGAAAAAACATTGCTAAAGAAGAATAAAAAAGATAAGAACCTGCAAACTGGTGAAGATTCGTTGATCTCTTTGAGGGCACTTCGATAGAACGGTCGATGATAATTAGATTGAATTTGAAGTTCTAATTCCGAATAATCAATTTCCTCTACAGTAGAAAAGAAGGATTCGCTGTCGCCATCAGAGATCGAATCGATGCACTGAAGATCAAAAGCGGAAACGGGAGTTCCTTTAATAAATTCGCGCTTGAATTGCTCTCGCAATAAAATGGAAGTTTCAAGAAACTTCTGCAACTCTTTTATGAACACATCGACATTTGGATCTTTAGTACTAAGTTGCTGGACAGTTCGGTTAATTTTGCTTATACATTCCTCCACTTGGTTAACAACCATATTTAAGGTTTGCAAACCAATTGTTCCGCAGTCGACGGCTAAGGTAGAGACAGTGGAGATAGAAGTATGGTGAGAGAGGACTCTCCTAGAAGATTGATAATTTGATAGAACAATGGTTGGGGATCTTGTAGAAAATGTATCTTCCAAATGGGACTGATTAGCGTATAAAATTTCTTTTGAGAGAGCCTTGTATCTGTCGGCTTCGAGAACGGATTTCTTTTTACCATTTTGAGGTATTAAGCGTTTCAAAAGCCACCAAATACATATCGCTGTAGTTCCACCAAGAACGACAGCAATAGTGGTATTCAAAGACGGCTTTCGGATCCTAATAACCCAATGTTTAGACATTGCAATTAAATTAGTTGTACTCTCATTTCAAGGACAAGGTTAAGGAAAGCATGGTATAGAGAATATGCAACAAAGCCGAAATTTTAAGATTGAGCTATATTTGATTAAATGCATTTTACCTTGAATAAATTTTTAAAACGAATGATAAATATTCCTGCTACAAAGAATAGATAACGGTTATTACTTTACGCAGATATGTGTGACAAAAAATTTAAATATAGATCAATTTCGAGCCTTCATATTATATTCATATGTTTGCCATGTTTAACTACAATTTATATTTTAATTGTCTGCGCGAATTGCGCACAATTTAGCATAATTATTACAGCCAATAAAAATGGACTTGCCTACGTCGAAGCCTTTCTCCCCTAATATGCTGCATTCTGAGAAGGAGAGATGGATTTGTATTTATCCTGTTTATATTAATAGCCGTGTCACTCGTGCGAAAGGACGCAAAGTGTCTGTTGAGCAAGGTGTTGATAATCCCAAGCACACTGAAATATGCATGATACTTCAGAATTTGGGCTTCAATCACTTAGCTGAAAATAAGGTTTTTATGATGGTTTTTTAATCGCTTTAGGTTTATTCCCGTGAGCGTGATCCTGCAGAAACTCAAAATCGCTGGCGTGTCAAAGTGCAGTTGAAAAACGACGATGGGACTCCCTGTCTTCCTGAGTAGGCTTTCGTTCTCTTTTCAACTATTTTAGATATCCAACGCGAATGTCATTGCTTCTTCATCTTGGCAAAACTATTCCTCTTCTGAAAACACGTCATTCTGGTGGTGAACAAGTAACCAAAGGTGGCAAGAAACATAAAAAGCGATAAAGATGTTTTAATTATTATTTATTAAATTCGTCATTCGAATCATTCTTCTTTATTTATTATCTATCATTCTTTTTTTCGTAAACGTATTGCGTTTGTTTATGGAATTTAAATTTGTTGTGTTTTGGATTGTAAAATCAAATGCCGTTTTTTGTTCTTTGTTGGATTTAACTTTCACGGTTGCTATTTTTTGTCCTTTCTAAACCGCATCGCAGTTATGATAAGTTACTTTCCTCTTCGTTTTAATACAGTATAAATAGTTATACCGATAAAACATATTCAGATTATTTTCCACATGTCTGGTTTTGCCATTCTACTTATGGATATGCTAGTAGTTGTTCTAGCTGAATTGCTGACACGAGTTTCATTATTTGTGCTTATGCAATTCTCATCCTTTATTTACTTCGTTAACAAATAGTAGGTTGTTTCCTAGTAGTTTACTCTGAAAAAATTCAAATATATGAATTTTAAAATGGCAAAAATATGCACTAACACCACCAGGAGCTTCTCAATTTGCCTTAGATAAACGTAAATTGTTGGCTAAGCAGTAATTTGTAATTTCTATCATTTCACTTAACGGCTTTCTTGATGAGGAAAAGATTCCGGTTCGGTATTAATGTTATCTGCTCCTTTACTCAGTTTATCGATGCAGTACTAAAAGCCTTAAGGTCATCGTGAATGTCTCCAAAGTCAGAAGCCCTGAGATCAGTGGGTATATGTGCACATTTTGTGGTGTCGTTGGCCAGCCGTCCTCGCTAATTTCGATCAATAAGTGGGGTGTTTGAATGTGAGTCTCGTAAGCATTACTAGTGAATCCCTTCCCTCTATCCAAGCGGGCGTGTTACGCTTAAGGTCAATCACTTCAAATCGTATAATTGTGGAGTTAGCTTCTGTGCATTATAAAGCACAGATTGTTGTTTCATCTTCGAGAAGATGAGTGCATCAACTCAGATCTGGCCAAAAGTTTGATCGGGACCGAATTCTATTTTCGAATAGGCGATTTCCTTTTCCCCAATATTTAAGAGCCAAAATTCATTTTTCCATCATGTAATACTTTTAATGGCTGTGCAAATAGCAACCAACCACCTTTATTAGTAATTAAATAGCACAGTTATATTTTTATACGTTGACGAGATATAACAATGAGTTGAAAGAAAACTACCTAGCTCGCATTCAGATCATAAAGCTAGCATCGAAGAACCCATTCATTAAGAAAAAAACGCAATTATTCTGTAGTTTTACTAGATGTGAATTGTGAAACATGGATCTTCTTTCACCTCCGACAGCATACCACTAATATCTGCCTCATTCCATAGAATGTTGAATACCAGCATTAAGGTCAAAATAATGACAATTATTATACCTCTGACTCAACAACACAACTTACAGTACCAATCAGAGTTTATTTACATTATACAAAATCATCCATTGCAATCATGTAGTCAAAAAAGATAACAGAGAGATAGAAATAAGGCAACAAGAGAGGGGAAGGAAGGATTCACACATTATTAGCTGAAGTGAAGTAAGGTAAAATTGTACACACACACACGCCAATAGCATAGTCAATAAGGGGGAAGGGCAGGTGGGTAAAGAACTCTGTTAAAACACAACCCTCACTGCATTTGACCAAAGGAACTCCTATTTGCTAAAGCGGAGAGAAAAGAGCTCGTGTTAGGCTTACATATTTTTTTCATCAACTCGTTTTTGACTACAAACAGTTAAACCAACCTGATTTCCTTCGTTTTGCTGCAGAAACTGAGACTGAGGATTGAGAGCCAGTTTTCAGAGATTGTATAACCCATTGTCTCGACGATAACTGCGGGTTTGAGCACTTGCTACTGCTAATCATATTCGGTACACACTTTTTCAGCCTTCTATTCTGCTCCATTAGAGACCGGTTCTCATCTTGTAGGAACTTATGCTCCCGGACAATCCTCTTTAATCTCCCCCGGAGTTTAGCATTCTCCCGCCTCAGATCACAGATCCTCTCGCGAAATGATGGAGGTGTGACCACCGAGGATGGACTGAAGAAATTCGTCTCTTCTGTTGTGTAACAGAATCGCTCCTCTTCATCCACTTCAGATTCCTCATCTAAATCTTGCTGTAGTCTATTCTGGCATCGTCTATATATTCGGTGCCTTGAAGGGTTCACACCTCTATCTACATTCTCAAGTTTTGGTCGTTTGCTTAGAAGTGCACGTTTACGGAAACGGGATATGATATTCGAAGTCTTAGAAGATTGAGACGATAGGTGGGGCTGCGATTCGGTAGTTGAATAGCTTTCCAAATGGGAGAAAGAGTAAGATCTCTTTCGTAAAAAGTGAAATAACGGTGGATTTCGACCGAAGTTTCGGTCGGGGGTACTGGAACGGCTTATCCTAGGAACAACAAGAGAGTCTGCAGTTGTAACCTCAATTTCATATTCTTCCTCATCCCCAGAGTTGGATTCTTCGCCGTAGCTTTCATCTTCGTCCATGTCGAAACTTGAGAAGCGAGGGACTTGCTGTTGTTTTCGACGTGACGCCGTGGTGGAAGAAAGTCGTCGTCGAGGGTTGTATTGATTGTCAGGCATTTCGGCGTTTAAACAGAGTGTGGAAATACCGGAATGGGATGTCGTAATATGATTGGTTGGTGAGAGTGAATCTGAGGGGAGAGAGACATGTTCGGTCATTCGGGAGATGCTTTGAACTTCATGCTAAAACAAAAGAGGCACCCATCAAAGTTGCTGCAAATTTATGAATTAAAAGCGTAGAAAAAACATAATAAAGCGGATTGATACTAAAAATTGGCATAAAACCATGTTAAATCAAGTCAATAGAACAACTAAAATTATGATTTTAATCATAAATGGATAGATTATGGTCTAACATACACCGTTTCCTTTATGTCCTGCTTCGTAGGATTTATAATTTCTGTCGTGAGTGCATGAAATAGCAATTTGATGACTATGTACTGATAATGATGCCAGACACATTAAGAATAAATGCCAATAGTGCTAAAATAACCTTCGTTCTTAAGAAACAGAACAGTTATAAGGGTGGATAGTCGTTTAGGTGGGAAAGGTTGTCCGTTGCCTCACAAAGAAAACATATTTATTTGACTAAATTAACAAAATGCACCAAAAGTAAGCTCATGGCGAGAAACAACAGCCGCTTATATCTCAGATGAACTGTATGATTAATTACAAACAAGCATAACTACTTAAAAATAATAAGTAAAAATATTTATACGAAAATTTGGAGATTAAAAAGTATCTTCGTTGACCAAAATTAGAGACTGTGCTCTATTGATCAAACTGATAAAATCAACAAAAAGGTGCAAACTACTTACAGCAAGTGCAGCACTTTCATTAAACGCTGCCATCGCAGCAGCTGCGGCATTTTTCTTTTGATTGTGCTCTTCCACTGCTGCAGCGGCAGCCATAGCAGCTGCTGCCACGGCTGTCGTCATGGTCGCAGTGTACACCGCAGTGGCTGCCGACGAACTCAACGCAGAAGACACGGAACAGATCTGCTGCTGTTGTTGTGAAGCGGAAGAGGAGGGGCAGGTCATATGGAGCGAAAATGAGTCGCTGGGGCTGTACAATTGCCTGTGCTGGAGGTGGTCAAGTGATTCAACCGAGACGGGCGGATTCAAAGTTGCTAGATAGCGGCTGCAGAACGAAGGAAGCAGTTAGATTTATCAGAAAAGCTTCACAATAGAATAGTGGAATTTTGTACAAGATTTGCATCATCTTCAAGAATTTAATTTAAATTTGGTCAAAAACAATAATTAATAATCATCATGAATTTAAATAGACAAAAAATGTCAGCGCAATATGCATAAATAATGAAATATGACCCAAAAATTGACACTCAGGAAAGCTAGATCTTACAGTAATGAAAGTAAATTTCTAAACATTGAACATTAATTCCACCAGGAACGAGTGTCGGTGGAACAGCGAATTAAACAACGACGACTTTTTTTGGTTTTGCATTTTATGACCACAAATGAGAGATCAATAAACGATCATCATATGACCACTATAACATACTGAGACATTAGCCAGTATGTGCACACTAAAAATCACTCAGATTGAGAAAGGCAGAAATTGTATGGATTAGATTTGAATAAATCGCAGTTTGTCAAATTCACCGGACAGTCGCATATACATTTCATTGTTGGACACCTGTTCCCTTGCATTGCTTACTCAAGTAAACCACATTTGAACACTTTATAATCTTGCGGCATCATTATCAACTCACTGTTTATGGGAACACTCCACAGTTTAAGTAACACATAGCAGACCCAGTGGGTATAACATTATACCTAAATATAATAACACACATTCATAAGTCTCGACCTTTTAAAATAATTAGAAGAGAAATAACTTATTAAAACCTAATAGAATACTCTGCGCTAGGTGAACGAAAATATACGTTTAACGATTGGCATACCCCATACTGATACATGGAGTCTGTGACGTAGACAGCACCAATTATGAATACTGGAATGCATAGGACACTTATATGGACACCAACCTAGTGCTAGCACACAAAGCCGGTATAGTGGATGTACAGGATACGTGGGGGCCAGAATGTGCTCGAGAGAATGAGGAGGTGGCAAGATGTGCGGCAGACATTGCAGCAACAGCAGCAGAAGGACCGGCGGAACTCACAACGGCGGCTGCGGCGGCAGCAGCTGCAGCCGCGGCCACAGCAGCACTGGCAGGCTGAGGTGGTGGTGGGGCAGGAGATGGCTGAGGCTGAGGTGGGGGAGCTGGAGCGCCGTATCCAACAGGTGATGGGGAGGGCAAGACAATGCCAACGTTGTTGGCGGCGGCAGCGGCGGTAATGGTATGTCCACCGGAACCGCCACCACTGGTTTGAGGTAACGAAACTGAGATGTCGCCAATGACTCCAGCGGTGGGTTTAGTTACTGATGCCGCTGCATGAGAAGCTGCAGCGGCTGCTGCTACCGGTTGTGATAGCATTGCACCTGAAGTATGTCAAGAGGGATTTGATGTTAAGACGTGTATGTAAAAAAATACCGCTAGCCTTGAAGTGCAGACACCTGAATTTTAGAAATTATGCGTAACCCCACTAGCTCTTTAAAACTTGAATTTGTCTCAATTCAGTATAATACGATGTTATCGAGCAGAGGCGTTACCCCTGATGCCTTCGGCGCTTTTTTGCTTATCTAAGACCTTTAAACCCCTGATTGGGTTGGCCACGAAATTAAATTCTTAACAAACACAATATGAGGTCGCTCAACTATCGTTCCAAATGGCATCTCAAGGTTTAAGGGACGGAAAAACTAAATGCATTAATAAAAATGCTTTCCTATTGTGAGTTTGATAAAAATAGAGTAGTTAGGTAATTAGCCCAACTTGATGAAGCAGTCTCAATTCACTCCGATTTATCTAACGATAAATCTTCTGAAAAGCGAAAAAATTCTAGTATCTTACAATAAATAAAGTGATAAAGCTAAATAACACATGTTTGTTGTCATTCAAGGGATCATTCCAAATTTCTAATACTTTCCAGCAATTTCCGAGAACTGTGACAGGCTGATGTCTGCTGTCAAATGCTAAGAATGATCAGAGGAGGGGATAACTCACATCAGAGGAACTTGCTAATAAATAATTAACTTTGGTCAGCGAGTATAGCAATGGAATGAATCAACAAAAGCTTGATTAGCACAATTGCGTTAATCAAATGCCAAAACAACTGTGTTGCCGAAAGTTCCCAATTCGCCTTCAAACTAAATGAATGGGCTGGCTTTGTAATGATTTGAACTTTGTCCCATTTTGTATGCACAAATGTCATATTTACAAATTGTCTGGGAAATTAGGATGTAGGGAAACAGCGTTTCCAAAAATAAATCAGAAAGTAGAAAAGGTCCGATGAGTCAGGGAAAAAACAAAGATCATGTGAATTGGAAGTCTTGAAATTATTTGAATAAGAATAGGTACTACGAAAAATTGGAGGGACCGATGGAAGAGAGACTGAAAGTTGTTCTAGTAAACTTCTTGGAAATAGACTTTCCAAAGACCCGTGGAAAATCTCCACCGGAAATAACAATGATAAGAAACAGGCCAAAGCTGCATTAATCGCCTAATTATTAAGATGTAGACTTGCAATTGAATGACAAAATAAACCATGTTTTGAAATTGAAAGCGCCAATTTGGCTGTATGCAAGGTAACAAATTTTGTTTTAGTAAGTAAGAAGTTAGCATTTGTGATTTCAAGGAATGAAGTTATTATTTCACCACCCAGTCATTTAATCCTCTTTTCCATAAACAGACGAAACTGAATGGAAAAGTATAAATGCAATATTTACCACCATATTAGCCACCTTGGATTCCAAAATGAGCTAAGCTCGAACCAAACGTTCTGTAAACAAGCAAATAAGGGAAGTAAGCTTTTAAGAGAGCAAAAAGGCTCAAGACCGAAATTTTCCCTATTTACCTTTCCTCAGCCCTCAAACCAGTAAACATGATATTAAGAGCTCTGTTCATGTCGAAAACGTATCTTTTAAAGGGGACAAAAAACAATAAGAGGAAAATCTTACCAAAGCAAGCTGCAGCGGCTAAAGCGGCCGCAGTATTCGCTTCCTGCTGTTGACTGTGCTGATTAAAGGGGGGATGTGAATTCATCGATTTATTAATAGCATCTTGGTTGGTGTAAGTGGACGATTTCGTCGAATGGTTGGGCATTGCAAAATCAACTGTTGAGGAGCCTTGATCATCTAAAATAGAGGGAAATGTGGCATTTGCACTCTGGGAAGCTATATTCACTTGCTAACGAATAAGTGCATTGGTTGTCGAATTTTATTGATCTTCCTCAACTAGCCCCTCGTTTACCTCTTTTAGAATATGCTTAGAAAGTAGCAATAATTTTTAACGATTTCTTGATTAACTATACTTCAGTTTAGTCTACACCTACCCTAGTTACTCAGCCTTCAGGTTACTATGACAAGACAAAAAATTTACAATTTTTAGGCATTAGGAAACAGAAACTAGGGTCAGTAGGAGTGGAGAGTAAGGAAATCGAGGAAACCATACTTTTTGGGTTACAGGATCATCTAGCCAACTGATTTTCAATATAATATACGATCTACCTTGATTCTTTTTTATTATCAATCGTTTAATTTAGAAAGTCTGATTGGGAGAAGTTTCCGTGTGTTTCCAGTTATCCTTTTTTAAATAGAATGCCTTCAGTACCCCTTTACTGAGCAAAGGTATATATCAGGTAGAAGAGTGAGGCTTAAGTTTGCAATCTTTGGTTCATTATTTCCTTCTCATCTCGGGTTTGAATGCAGTCAATAGTATCGATAATCCATAAATATTTCGAATTCTTTGTGGGGTTGCTCTTCTGTCTCGCCAAACACTTGTATAACATACTCAATAAAATCACTAAATCAATTTCTCATGTGTGGGGAATTAATGGTACCCGCTTTCGGAAAGTAATATTTAAGCATCATTTCATCAGTATCTAATGCACTGCGAAGATATGGATTTCGAAATTATGTGGCAAGATTTCCCAAAATGACTTCTTGACAAGAAATTGCGTTCAACCTCATGAGGGTAATCAGTAACACGATAAACGTAAAGCATAATTGGGCAAAAAAGGAAATCTCACCTTGATTAAGAAAGTAATGGGAGTTCAATCGGTGATCATAGTGATAGGGGAGAACTCCGGAAGCGTGAGAAGTTGGAGGGGAGTACGAAGAGGAATCACCTATACAATGGGGATGAGGAGTGCTGGGATTGGTTACTGCTCCCAATATTGATTGCATAACGGGTATGTTGGTCGGTGGATTCAGGGCTGATTCCGAATACTAAAAATTGAATAAAAAGTTAATAAGGTAAAACAGTCGGCAACACTCATAGCGGATGTGTTTTTAAAGATGTGGCCCATCTTCTGATGAATATTTTTGCCGCTATTTTAGTTTGTCATTAACTTAGAGCTAAATGAACGATCTCATAAGACCTTCTGAAGACAAAAGATTAAAATTTTCGATCTCCACGTGGTTGACTAAGTCCTAGAAATTAATTTCTCACCCCAGTACGAAAAAATAATAAGTTGGTCATGACAAGGTAAAGATGAAATACGTAAAGTCATTCCATTATTTATTCAATAGAGAACATTTGGGCAGATTGGAAGAAAGAACAAATTTTGATGCTTCTCCCAGCAGGGAATATATATATACGAACTTAACAAATTGCATCCAATTCTCAGCCCAAATTGATACCTAAATTTATAATTTCTAAGGAAGTTATGATTGCTCTATGAGCTAGCGAAGACGATTTGACGAAGTGCGGGTGAATTTTATAGGAAAAATCTAATTTGTTAGAAAATTGATTCACGTCGATTAATAGCTCATAAGTATTGCTATTCAATCTGATATTGGACTGAATTTAACGATTAACTTGTTCGATTTTAAGGATTCGACGCCCACTGGTACACGTCTAATGGGTGGAATAGTCAATCTCAATACTTAAGTCGAGTGGTAGAAATCGAGTTTCTCACCTGAGTGTTGACAATTACCCTCTCAAATGGACTTATGGTTCCATTGAAGCTTAGAACAGGGGCTCTTAGGCCAACTGAAGGGAATATTTTAACAGTAGTCCTAGGATCTGCTGAGAGGTTCACACACCATCGGGTTAGAAACTGAAGGAATGGTTGATTCTCTCACTGAATACGTGCTAATTAATATCGATAGATAAAAAGATGATAAAACAATTAGTTGAGCGTGATCTTCATCAACTTCAGAAGTTGAAAGAATGGGAGTTGTTAAATGCGGAAAGAATGAACCACGGAAATGCGATATTTCATTAATTCAATTGTGCCTAGAATTACAAAACTTGCAGTACAGATTGCTTTACAACGGCATTTAAATTCGATAAGTAGAGACAAATAAAAATTCTCTAGCATACTTTTAAAAAACCACAATAGAATGAAAAATAGATTTTTAAAATGAATTTCACTACTAGGATCTTAGTAAAGTAAGGCAACACAATTAGTTTAAATTCTGAACAACAAGAAGAAGAATCCTTTATAATTGTTTTTAAAATCGGTTTTGAGGAACTTGAAATTTAAAAGTAAAGACACTGGAGGAGGGAGGGGGGAACGTTTAAACAAATCTGATTAGCACAAAAAGAACACTTTTTACTCTGAGACTAAGTAGTCATTTCATTGACAGACGATGACAATTAGATTAGACGAATAAAAGGCATGAGTTTAAGTTGATATGAGGTTTCCCTAAACCAACTCACTTGCATTGCCCACTTCCTGAGTTGAACAACACATAAACTAACATAAAAAAGGAAAAGATGTGAATTCCTAAAAGGGAATATAGTCTTGAGCTTATTCTTCCTTAACATGGTGAAAAAATGCTTAAATTCTAATTTTTTATTCAGCGTTATAAAAAACTTTGTGCATTGAACAACTCCTCATAGGCAGACGAAAAGTTTCCACATCTTTAGATTCATTTTACCTTCTCCACTCTGGTGGATATTTTAGAATTGTAAGCGCAAAAGACCTATGACAAATTCTACACACAAATCGGTCCAAGGCTTTTCACTCGAAATAATTTGGCGCGTCAGTTATAAAGCCGCAAATGATTTGATAAGGTGAATTTGAACCGAAGTTGAAAGCGTAATAAATAAAACGCCAAGATGTGCTTATCGGTGACGTAGTGATGAAAGGATAGGGTATTGCTATATTTTGTAAGTCAGGGTGCGCGATAGACTTACCTTCACTTGGTGCACCCTGGGCAACGTATACTCATACGGCAAAAAAAGTCCATTAACCGACAGTTGACTTCTGAGTTCAAACTACCATCAACCCATTGTATGTCATATATGACCACTTTCACAGTACTCACCTTACCTTTCCTCTGCATTTGTGTCCATCTGTCTCTTTACATTTGGGAATCACTCTTATTTCCTCCCTCTCGGCTTTTTCTCACTATGATGTTCCCCCCGTCTATGAAGTCCGAAATCAGCTAAAGGGCTAATGATAGCTATCGAAATGCCTCCTATTTGAAAAAAATATTTAGCAAGTCAAGAATTCAACCCATGGACACGCGTAGTGAGTATTCATGCATTTGTCAATATTGACACAAAGGTGACTGACTAATCCTCACAATTAGCATCATTAGTGGTGATTCAATGTACACTTGGAAGCTATTTTTATTAAAACAGCTACAAACCCAAATTGTTCGGACAAGAAGAGCTGCTACAATTTCTTCCCCAATTAAAATGTCAATTAAGGCTTGTGAAAAACACGTTTGATCTTAAGGACACTTCAATTAAAAATTCAATCCACATTAAGCCCATCCGATTGATGGCTTTGAAAAAAACTTCAACTGATTGCTTTAAACGAAAAACTAAAATTGCGACCATAGTTAAAGAGATAACCCCAATCATCTATGAAAACTAAGATATAAGAGAAATGAGGCTAAATTTCATTTAAGGACGTCTACGACTGCGGGCACCAGGTCAAGAAGGACAGATGAGTCACCGGTAACGCACATTATGGTCCTATTTAGCCAAAATTTTGCTGCCGATGCATTAATCGGGTGTGAGAAATGCTTTAGATTTAAACAAATAAAACTAAGCCAGGCCGCTCCAACAATGAACATAAGTCTCTACTGATGTGCACACTGATTTGTTTAGCTTCCTTTTTAGATATATATATATATATATTAGATTTGCTTTTTAACCACGGCACTGGAAAAATGTACAAAAACTTCTTATATTAGGTAGGTACTTAAACACGTAAAAATGCCGAGTAGATCAAACTCAAGAGAAGGAGAGTAGAAATGAGTTAATGCATCTGAATCACTTGAATTCCAGAACTACCAGATCAAAGGATTTTACTATTTGAATTTTGATCATACCTCTTGCACTATAGCTATAAACAAGAATATAGAATTGGCATATTTGCCTAAAACAAAGCTAAATGCGGAAATAATTGCACACCAGCTCCCTCGTTGTATGCCAAGAGAGCGGGCTATAACCTGCGTCGAAGAAACAAATAACACATGCCAGCATGGACCAATTATGTAAATGATTTCGAGATTCGATTCTCATAAGCAGTTGCAGTTAAGCAGTAATTAAGTAACAAGCAGAATCAAAAGGTGAAAATTATAGTCAAATTAAGTTGATAAAGGAAACATTAATCGAAGATGTAGCAAGAGAATCCTCAACAGGTGATAAGGATTCGAGACGTAAAGATGACGAGAAAATTCACATTTAATTAATTTTAAATAGCCATATATATATATATATATATATATATATATATATATATATATATATATATATATATATATATTCAAAAAGCACAAGTGAGAAAAGTTCATGAAAATTAATACCACGATTGAGTCTTACCAACTCGTCAAAATAGACACTCAGGAAAAAATCTAATGAAGAAGACGAAAATTACGAAGGGACACCAATAACAACTGAGCCTTTCAATAGGGAGTATTTAAAATTCGATTACTGATACCCCTAGGATCTGAATCCTTTGAATATGATCATCTTCCACAACAACAAAAAAGGCACAGGGATTTGAGGCTGAATAAAAAACCACACAAAACAGACCGCAACAACTAAATCTTTCTGTTTCTTTTTTTGAAAAGTACGAATGAATGAAAAAGGAGGAATAGGTTAACATGAGCTAAAAATAATGCGTAAGTTTAGGACAAACTGTAAAGAACAAGACAAGAAAAGATAACAGACAGTCAAATAAGAAGACTTAGATTGAGGACCTCAAATGTAAATCAGCATTCCACCAAGTGCAACAGATAACTGAGAAATAGAGTTAGACCCTAAGATTAAGTGTAGCTAATAAATAACAAAGAAGACTAATCCAGTAAGTCCTCTAAAGATATTGCACTAAAGAAAAATATAAATTGAGAACAGAAGCATGAAGCTTCCAATAAAGGACACAATTAAATCTAGAAATAATAAAAGTATACAAGTAGCACTTACCCTGTGACTAAGAGGAGCATGCTGTTGAGTTGCTATTGCGGTGGCAGCAGCTGCAGCAGCAACGGCCGCAGCGGAAGCTGAAGGGACCGCCACTGTGCCAGGCGAAGCTCCTTGTACCACCACACCGGGGGTTCCACACTGTTGATGGTGAAGGTAACTATCACACGCCTGTTGTTGCTGGTGGTGGTGACCGCGTTGTTGCTGCTTCTGTTGCAGTGCCAAGTATCCAGCAGCTGCAGCCGCAGCTACCATTGCAGTAGCCGTCTCTGGTGTTGTAACGGTTGCAGCTGACTCAGAAGTCCTTGGATTAGGAGGCAGTAAATTTCCACCCTGTCCGTCAAAGAACTGCGGATGAGAATTGTATACCTGAGTTTCTGGAACTTGATAGATGATGGTCTTCTCAGACAAGGGGGAGGGATTATTAGTCGGCTTGCAGTGCCGAAACTTGCAAGTCAATCCTCGATGACAATTTCGATTCAAGAAATCTCTACACACTGGAACGGTTGGGTCTGAGATGGTTTCATTGTCCGAACAATTATTGGGATGAGAAGTGGGCATCAATCCATGCAATCGAAAGAACTCCTCCTCTTTCTTTGTGTAGTGAAGAAACTTGCAAGAAGGTCTATGGCATATTCCATTTTGATAATCATGACAGTAGACAGCTTCACGGCTGCAAGATTATAAACAATAAAATCACAAATATACCAAAAATAAAATATGCAAAAATAAAAATTACGCTAAATCTGATCCCTGAGTAATGGCCGGATGTTTAAATTTGCATTTTTTCCCTCTTTTACAGGAATTCCTCAGAAAGTCTCTGCAAACATCACCATCAATGTTGGCAGCATTTTTAGAAATTTCGCTGCAATTCGTAAATGTTTGATCCGAAGACATCAAGGAAGATTCCAACTAAAAGAACACAGTTTATAAAAATAGCAACTAAATTATAAATAACTATGAAACATTAACGGTTACTAAAAATAATCATTCATATAAAATGAAACAAATAAAGATACTGTAGACATAATAAATATCACCAGACAATGGGGTAAATGAAGCAATCCCAAAAATACACAAATTTTTAGAGATTAGTTGGTTTAAAATTATATCAAGGAGGCTTAAAAATCGCTTCAATTACTCTGACAGTTCAGCATAGACCAATACATCCGAAATTTCAACAAGTTATTTGGATTAGTAAAACATTCATTTAAGTAATTTCATCTACATATCATACATAACTATAAAATATATCTCGTTAATAATTTTATTACGATTCTATTCTGCTTTCATAAATTTGTCTATCTTTCACAGAGGGATTAGATCTGTAATGCCTTTATGCTAATTGTTATAAATTGCTACTTGTGAATTCCATTCCCTATACATGGGAAGATGGGAGCCAATATCCTAAAAGACATCTTAAGTGCCACGTCAATGGTGTACTATGCAATTATAATTTTTAAGAATTGGTCTGAGTGTTTGCAAAATTATTTTGCACTGTAATCTCTAATTAACGATGATTGCAGAAATTATTTAGCAGACGCTGATTTTCTGCGCTATGTACATCCTTTTTATCATTTCCAGTTGCTTTTGTTATTATTACACAAGATGTCTTAACGTTTTCATTTTTTAGTGGTGATTCAAAATGCGTGATGTAAGATGTTTTGCAACTTCGAATTAACCATGATTTGACAAAAAAATTGCATTGCCGTATGGTTGAATTAATCTTTCATATAAATGGTTTGAAGACCATCGAAGGAAGCAGAACAACTAGCACAACCCATTGCATTTTGATTCAATTATTACAAAGTAATTCGTGTGCTTGTAGCTATTACGCCTTTCAAAGTAGGTCGACTATTTTTATTATTCTCACAAAGATGTTTTCCCTATGATCATAAATGAAATTTATTGTATCTACTCAAACTCAAACAAATCATCTTTACTTGATGATTATAAACTGAATAAATGCGCGGTACAATTGGAAAGCAGTCACAGTCATTAAAAAATGAAAGATATATAAGAGATGAAAAATTTAGACCATGCATTTATTATATATAATTCAAATGAAGACTAAAAATTGCAATTTCAATGATAAATGATTATAATATTCATTTTACGCAACTTCGGTCTAATCTAATTTATAATTACCCTTAATTTATGCTTCATCTCTGTTAATATTTGTAAAATAAAACCCCTAATCTCTGAATGATATTAATGTTTAAGAATGCTTATATCAAATGCTACTTAAAGGCGATATATGAAACAGAAATCAAATTTCACATTTATTGCACTCAACAAATTTACTATCTGTGACTTAATTACAACTGAAATCTTTGATTTTTCTTTATATGGTTCTGTATATGAATTCGCAACATTAAAAATAACTTCAATCTCCAAACATACTGAAAGTTATTCTGTCTTCATTAGAGAAATACAACGCTTCAAAATGAAATAATTTATGTTTCAACGATTATTTCTGATTTCTGTCATAAGCATGAAAATGAAATATATATAAATAGTTTTAATGAGCATTCACAAGGAAGAATAATTAAAAAAATCGGAGTACTTCAGTTTTTCTCTCTTGTGTGTTATATTTAGTCTCCTCTAAGGTTATTATTGACCCGTCTACGAACGTTACTTAAATAATGATTGCTCCGGCACAACATATTCCTAAGGCTCTTTTACTAGCCTCTATGCTTATGTTGGTTTTACCCATCTCTTCCTATTTCTTTGCTAGACGGTTTTTTAAAGGTAAGCTCATATCTTATCACAGTCTTTTCAAGAATACTTGGAGTACTCTGACAGCTCGGTCTACATCGCCTCTGCCGCTGTTGTCGTTTTTGTGATTCACTCCATTCTACTTTTTGTTATTATACTTTCCTTCAAGGAACAAAAATCTATCGATCCAAAAGAAGACTGATTCATTCGTCTTTCATCCGACTTCTCCATCAACTTCGTTAATTTTTACTCATTCACTGTGTATAGGAATAATTTTTTGTCTCTTATACTGTGTACTTGTATGACTAATGTGTAATATAATTCACATTAAATTGCTAACAAGTGTAATTTTTCCCTTATGGCCTCTCTTTTTTAACTTTTGGATTAATGCTAAGGTTAATTGGGTACTACGAGCTTTAATATATAGTACACTTTTACTTAGGTTGATTATGTTGAAAAAGGCACGAAGAGTTGTTATTCGTGGTGTTGGTATGGTTTCCTGTCTCGGGGTGACATCTTCCTCTACTTGGACACGTCTTTTAGAAAACAAAAGTGGCATCAGCCTTCTTGACTGTAAACATCGTTTCTATTCCCTTCCTTCCTTGCTTCTAACCTTTCTATAACTGTCTTATTTGTTTAAATTCAGCTAAAATACATGGTCCTTCTCCTTGCCATATTGGCGGCAGTGTCAACAATGAGGCAATGGAATCCCGATGGAGTGACCTATTGTCCGACCAATTGCGTTTACGTGGTGTCGAAAAACAAATAGATCGGAGGGCTATGTCTCGTACCAGTATCCTTGGTATGCTCGCTGCCCAGGAAGCTTTCAAACAATCTGGTTGGTTACCTCATGACTCCCAAACCTCTTCTCCCCGTGATTACTCATCCCTCGATGATACCAGCTACCGAGCAGGTACCTACTTCAGCACAGGTCTAGAGGGCATTGACGAAATTATAATCAGTCAAGCACGGGTTAATAAGAAGGGTTATTCAGGAATGGGAGCTCATGTGTTGCCTCGAACTCTGGCCAATATGCCTGTGGCTCATATCAGTCGAGCATGGGGTCTGAGAGGTCCCACAATGTCCTGCAGCACCGCTTGTGCATCTGGTCTACATTCGATTGGAGAGGCTTTCCGAATGAGTTGCTTGGTTTCCCCATTTTATTCACTCTTCTGCCGTCATAAACGCGAATTAAATCATATTTCATTTGTTAAATAGTTCAACATGGAGAAGCTGATATGGTTCTTGCGGGAGCATCAGAGGCACCATTGAATGCCTGGTCATTGATGGCTTTCTCGAGAATTCGAGCCCTTTCAATGGAGACGAATGAGGAGTTGGCTTCACGACCATTTGATTCCTCTAGAGATGGATTTGTTATGGCTGAAGGAGCAGCAGCGGTTGTTTTGGAGTCTTGGCCCCCCAAAAATCCCTTAATGTCTTCATTTCAGCCGCCTATAGCTGAAGTTCTTGGATTTGGAAGATCAGGTACCTTATCCCTTCAATCTATATTATTTACCAAAGTCTAGAGTAAACTTTTTAATCATAAAGTGTATAAAGTGCCTGTTAAAGCAGTTAAAGTAATATCTGTGAGATTTAGGGATGCATCAAGAAACAGAGCCTGGATTTAAATAGCATCTTATTTCTTTTTTTTCATAGTGTTTTAATCTATTCTCTATTGCCTTTAGGATAATGAAGTTTCATTTGATTTAATAATTAGTCTTAATACGACCGTTCATAGGACAAAGTAATCAGTTGATTTATCGATTGTCTGCGCTTTGATGATGGCCATTACTCAAGTGCATTCTCATCTCATGACCTCATGATGAGGAGCGATGAGGCCTGACTTCTCATCATTTAGCTTAATCTTTCTTTCTCACATCTTTTAATTGTGGTTTGTATTCTATTGGGTTGGCAACTAAGTCATTGCCGTTTTTGTTGACAGATTCACTCTATACTTTCTTTTGTTTCGTTAAGGTGGCCAGAACATCTAACCTATATTTTTTCTTACTGTATGGGCTTCTAGGTTAATTAGTAAAAAATTTTTTTTTGTTTAGTTCTTTAGTTTTGTTTTTATCCCAATTTAAAAATGACAGAACAGGACGTGCACTTCCGACACATTTTATTGTATTACTTCCGAAAAGGCAAGAACGCATCGCAAGCACAAAAGAAGTTATGTGCCGTATATGGAGATGAAGCCTTAAAAGAAAGGCAGTGTCGAAATTGGTTTGAAAGATTTCGTTCCGGTGATTTTTCACTGAAAAATTCACAACGATCTGGCCGCCCAGTCGAAGTGGATGAAACCCATATCAAGGCCATTATCGATTCAAATCGTCACAGCACAACACGAGATATTGCAGAGAAGCTCAATGTGTCGCATACATGCATTGAAAAAAAAAATTGAAAACCCTTGGTTATGTCAAGAAACTTGATTTATGAATCCCTCACCAGTTAAAGGAAATTCATTTGACGCAACGGATTAGCATCTGTGATTCGCCGCTACTGAAAGGCAATGAGAATGATCCATTTCTGAAGAACCTAGTTACTGGCGACGAAAAGTGGATAGTTTATAACAATGTTACTCGCAAGAGATCATGGGTGAGGAAAGATCAACCAGCCCAAACAGTATGAAAAGCAGAGATTCACCAAAAAAAGATTATGCTGTCAGTGTGGTGGGATCACAAAGCAATTTTGTATTTTGAACTCATGCCGCAGAACCAAACGATAAATTCAAATGTGTATGTTGAAGAACTCGAAAAACTGAAGGATGCAATTGAAGATAAGCGGCTGACATTATCAAATCGGAAGGGTATTGTTTTCCATCATGATAACGCAAGGCCCCACACATCTTTGGTTACTCGGCAAAAATTATTGGAACTGGGTTGGGATGTTTTGTCACACCCACCATATAGCCCTGACCTTGCGCCTTCGGATTACCATTTGTTTCGTTCCATGCAAAACTTTAAATGGTAAAATTTGTAACAACGCGGATGATGTCGGATCACACCTAATTCAGTTTTTTAATAGCAAAGACCAGACATTTTACGAACGGTGAATTTTTACTCTGCCAGAACGATGGAAAAGGTCATCGACAAGAACGGCCAATATCTAACTGAATAAAGTTATATTTTTAAACAAAAATTCCGAATTTGCTTTCTTATTTGAAATCGGCAATGACTTAGTTGCCAACCTAATAGTAGGTGAGGAATGGAATTCTTATTACAATCCAGCTTCCTAATCGCATCCTCTCCCACTAAACACTTGGACCCCAATCAGCTTTGAGCTGCCTAAGTCGGATCTTTGTGTGGGAAACTTTAGGTCTTCTCAGTTTGATAAAATTACATGAATTCAACAGGGCAAAAGGTAACTCTTAAGTTGTGACACTTTAGAGGGTAATAGAGACTTTGTCTTCATATCATCTCTAACCTATTATTACACCTGGTTATTACTGTAATATAAGGACTCAATTTTCATTGGATTTTAATTTGAAGTCGTGTAATAGTTAGCAATTCTTTGTATTTTAAGTAGTTTTGTTTGACTATATTTTCCATTTTTTTAAAATTCTATAAATTTGTAGAAAACTAATTTTTGTTATCTCTGTCGTCAATCTACAGCGGACGCGTTCTCTTTAGTTTCTCCTGAACCTTCGGGCGATGGAGCCTTCCGGTGCATGAAAGCTGCCTTAGATGATGCTGGTATAGAGTCCCTAGAAGAGGTAAGCCTTCAGTTTATCTAAAATTACATACTTAGACTAGTCAATGCACACATGCCTAGTTTTGGCTGTTTAGTGAGATCTCGCTTTCTGGACAAGCTCTATACTAATTCATCACTTAAAAAGCAATTGCTATTTGAAAGTATAAGGCAACGTCATATTTGTACCGTTGTTGGAGAATAACTGCAAATTCAATCGCTTGCATTGCTATCGTACTTTAGTTGATAGAATATTACGTTATGAGTTCAATTTATGTGACCTTGTTAAATAGCAATCGATGTTTCCAATTGTATCTTGTATTGCTTTAAGAATATCTGGTAAGTGAAGCAAATGCTTTGCTCTAAAATATTAATACCTCCCTTAATATTCCTCTTTATGGACAATATGTCTAACTTTTAATTAGCAAATCTAGCTTAATTGGCTATTTAGACAGGTTCTGAATACTTATCTCGCGAACTTAAAAGTGTAGGACTAGTAGAAGTACGCCTACTAAATAGTGTATAGAGTAAGAGTTAACTTTCATTTCAGTAACTAGTCCCCTACTAAGTTCAATTTCACTTTGCTCGCACAAATAGTGACAGGTGAGCCCATGTCCTTTTAGCTAATCACTCAAATGGATAATCTTTGAATCACTAAAAATTAGCAACCGCATTGCCTCCTGAGTAATTAGCAGCAGTCTAATCTATCAAAACATGCAAGCGGCATAATCGTTTTGATTGAAGGAAGTACATCAAGGGGCTGTCTCTTACAGTGCACTCTAAATATTTCAGCTAGGACATATTAACTGCCACGCTACTTCAACTCCTGTTGGCGACGTAATTGAACTCGCAGCTGTGGCAAAACTGCTATTATCCTACAAAAGACGCAGCTCTAACGCCTCTCCAATTCAAGTAAACTCAATAAAGGGTCATCTCGGACATAGTTTGGGTGCAGCAGGGGCTATAGAGGCCGTTTACTCTGCCTTGGCTGCTCAAAATGGTGTGTGCGTCGCCACTCGTAATTTAGAGAAACCCTGTTCACCTGACGAGGTCATTGAAACCCTAGAGCACACCGGTGACAAAGAGGCGGCACGCAAAATGACTGAGAACCTCTTTGAGAGTATCACATTTGAAGCGGATCATGAGTGGGGCAAGCGAAGCAAGAGGAGACTTGTACTGACGAATTCATTTGGATTTGGCGGAACGAACGGATGCCTTTTACTCTCTAATTGGATCGAGTAGTTGGAATAGACTAATTTTATACTAATGTACTAAATTTAGTGACTTGTTAATAAGTTATTCCATTTTGTAACGACTTTTCTATGAGTAAATGGAGTTACTTGGAAGAGAACATTGATTGTTATTCATATGAAATAAAGAAGACAAATAAAAAAATAATCATATAAAATCGGTAAGAAATGTTAGCTGCTGAACAACGTTGCGTTGATACAAAAGATTTGGAGTTTCTCGAGTCATTCTTTAAGAAAGGATGGATCATGTTTGAATGAAGAGAAGTATTCGTGGAGCATACTGTTTCCTAATAAAAGAAGAAAGGGTTGGTAGAAAGGAATATTCATTATTGAATTTCACCCTCTTTAACACATTGTTTTAAGGTGTCATGCTGGAATTTCGAAATGATAGAAATGTAATAATTTCCACCTTAGTAAGTTAAAACGTTGTGACAATTTTAAGCTTTGAGTAACACACTTTATTTTTTAAAAATGGTGATTTAGTAAATGCTACTCCTACCTTCTACAAGTAAACCCAAATTCACGAAGGCCTCATTTTATACTCCGAATGCTGAATCCCGTGCATCTCAGAAGGCACTCATATTCCTCCCTATCGTATCTGTAATGCAAGTAAGATACTGTTGATTGGCATGGCTTCTTAACTACTAGCTAATATGTATGTAAAGTTTGAAGTCGGATGATCCACCGAATATGGTTATCATGATAATTGCAAGAATGATCTATTTTTTGGAGTTTCACCAATACGATTGACGCAGTAAATTTTGTGTGCAATGGGAGCTATTGCCAGCATAAATGGTGCTTGAAAGCCACCATGGTGATTTTAAAAGGGTCTAAGCTTAAGATCTCAATAGTTAGTTAGAATGGTTATGCCAATTAGCCAGCCAATCACGGGCTAAACTATATGAAAGCCGGTAATGAGAAAGAGCCAACCAAATAGGAGCCATTGGCTGATGATGATCAAAAGAGGACTTTGATATACTTGTACGTCATATTTGATTTCAGATATTTGTGTTCTAATGCGGTGGACACTTTCTGCTATAAACTCCAATTCTACTCAGGCCACTAATAAAATACTAGAGAGATTTCGGTCCATTTGATGAGCGAAACTAACAGTAAATGAGTCATATTTTTAAGCCTGACCACCAATTTATAGTATAGTTTAGGTGCCATGATAAGACGCTACGAGCACAATGAATATCTTAAATAGTGAGTGAAGGGATATGCATATACCAATTTTTAACCTAACAAATCCTAGAAGATAAGTACCTGAAAATGCTTTCTTTCATTAAAGTACACACGTCCTTCAAAAATCGGAAATCACGAGATCGATGCTTATCGATTCACATCTAGTTGTGTGAGTGACTAATCACATTAGTCAATTCCTTTCGATCTGAAGGGTGCTAGAATGAGTGTTTTCACGTAAATGGCTTCTGGGCATCTGCCTTTTATGGTCACATAATCGATGACAGGCTAGGGACGATTTCAATGAAGTAAGTGATTTTCTTAATTAAATAGACACTTACATCACAAAGAGATATGCATTCGGGACAGCGGAAAGATCCGAGTATTGTTAGAGCAGATTCTCGAAGACAGATAGAAATGTTGACGAGTGGTCTCTGAACTCCTCCGCCACAAGAAACTTGGAGTCCCCCAGCCAATTCAATCACAAGTCCTCCCTCTTTTTTATTACAGCGATGCTTAAAGGAACAAAAATTCAGAAACTTCATTTGCATTGAAAGCTGACGTCAAAGACCTAAAGTAGACTTTTATTAATTGCACAGTAAACTAGTATAGTAAAGTCAACTATATTTTGTACTAGTAGACACAATCGAGCTTAAATAAAAGCTTAGCTTTTTCAAAATTCAACTAAAACCCCTTTCTTGGACTTTTCATCTAAATTCAAATGTTAATTTAATCTGACTAGAGGAAAAAAGAGAAGACAATAATAGTTTCGAGGGGTTACTGGAATCGATACGTGATCACGATTTCTCCGCTTTCCACTAAATATCCGTGGGTAGCCAAGTGGCCCAACAAAGTTGACAGAAGGGTAATTAAGAGGAAGGGGTTTGCATTTTTGGGTATAATAATGAATCAACAGGTGGGTGACCAAAATGAGACAACAAAATTGAGGCTAGAATAGAATACAAGAGTGGTTGGGGCAATATGCAGAGTAATGGAGTCGAAGTCAATCAGGATCAGTAACATTGCATTTACTATACTGGATCTCGCTCGACATAACTTTATTCAGCTTTAATTATCGAGTGATAATTAAAATTGATATTCAGATTAATAAACTACAGCTATAGACGCTTTTGCACACGTTTTGTTATCTTTAACCCCCCCCCC